ATTACTTAATATATTATTTTAACCATTATCTATCTTTATGTACAAAAATATACTACTAGCATAATCACATGAAACGAATTTAACACAGTTTGAGACATGTGAAAGGTACTAGGATTACTAGGAGTTTTTTCAACGGRCTACAAAGTGTACGGATTCAGCTAGTCATTTAAAAAAAGAATAATCTTTTATCTCGCGGAAAAATTATAGTTAGGCGTCAGGCCAAAATGCTATTTGGATAAATTTTAGGTATACATTAACTACCAGTTACCACCCTATATGCAATAACTGTCATAATTTTAAAATGTATTTTCAATAATTAAGATTGATCATAAATTTAATTTTCAATTCCTAGTTGTCGCCGAATCCGCACATGTGTTGGCTCCGTCTTACAAATAATGTAGAACATMAAGCATGGTAATGAACGAGTTAAAAAGTTAAAATTAAGTAGGTAATTTGTATTAACTTAACTGATGTTTACTTAATAGATAACGAATTACTTTTAATAAAATCTTAGTTACGTAATTTTTTTTTTTTTTAATTAGTAGTGTCAACCAATCTAGTACTTTTATGTAGTATTGCGAATTTTATTTTATCTTAGTAGCTAGGTCTATTGGCCATTGTCTTTTGAATCTTCTACGTACATTACCGGGAAGTGAGATGGAGGATAGTYGTTTAATTAATGCATAAATGGATTACTGTGAGAGTTTAACTTAGTATGAAATTTAAAGTCATATATTTTTGCTAATTGATAAAGATAAAGTAATTTTTAGGTTTTTTTGAAGTACCATGGAGAAGACGGTTACTAGCCGTAGACAAATTGATTGAAACGCCTAAAGCATTTAGCCCATTTTGGTATTGGATGACTTAACAGAACTCTAGGGATGAATACCGTATGTCTAAACTGRTAAAATTATTGACTTGTATATGGTAAATTTATTGAATTGGGACTATAAGACTATAAAAAGTCTACAAATTTTGTAAAAACTTGAAGCATGTAAGTATAGTTAATTCATTTCTCGCGTTAAATCTCAAGTGTTCAAGGGGTTGAGATCAACACCTCGATAGGGGAGGTTCTCCAGACGCCATCAAAGGTTATTACGATAATTGTTTAGAACAATCTATTAATTTAAGACCATGGACCATGGTTGTTATTTACATGACCATTCAAAATTGAATACTAAAAAAAAAATATAATTACAAGATACAAAATACAAATCATCATGAAGACATCTGACATGGCGTAAAATTATCAATGATTTCTCTCAGCCACATAATATTATCAACACCGTGATCCAAGCCGTTCGTCACTCCCACGATTCATGGACTAAAAAAAAAACAACGTACACTGTACAGTGATAAAGTCGAATTTGATATATTTTTTTAACACGATTACAAGAAGAACAATACATTTATTTGTTGAATTGAAAGAATTGAGTCCTATTTTTTATTAGTTTTACATTATTTTGTTTTAAAAGAAATCATGGACACGTATGAAAGCATATTGTTGGTAAAAAACGAAGTGTTTGTATTCAAAATACCGCCGAGAACCACCAATAGAGGATATAGGTAAATACTAAATATTATAATTTATTTTGAATTAAATTGGGCAGATTGGCATTTGACAATTGTCATAATWAGCATTTACTCTAAATTATCTCAATTTTCAGCTTAAAACATAACTCAAAACCAACAATGTATGCAATAACAACTATGTGATTGTTTGTATCTTGTATTTTATATTTAATTTTTTTAGGGCGGCCGATTGGAATCTTGCTGAACCAACTTGGACAGGCCGCTTGAGAATTGTCAGTGTGGGTGATGCTTGCACTCTTAAACTCGAAGACCGCAACACTGGTGAACTATTTGCCAAATGTCCCATTGAACARTATCCAGGTGTAGCTCTTGAGTCTGTATCTGATTCGTCTAGATATTTTGTTGTCCGAATCCAAGATGAAAATGGTATATTTCTTTATGACCTAATTTCAATATTTTATAAAATTACTTTATATTTCCCAAACCAGGTCGTGCTGCGTTTATTGGCCTTGGATTTGGAGATCGTTCTGATAGTTTTGATTTAAATGTTGCCTTACAAGATCATTTTAAAAGAATTAAAGTCTGTGAAGAAATCGCTAAGGAAAAAAATGAACCCAAACAAGAATTGGATCTGAAATTCAAAGAAGGCGAAACAATTAAAATCAATATGAAAATTACAGTAAGCTCAAAATAATGTTTGATAGTATGAAATTATTTATAATTAAATTTTATTCCTTTATTTGTTAAGAAAAAAGATGGAAGTGAAGGCGTGGCTAATAAGCAGGCCACTAAACCTCGACCGACAATTACGRGTAGTGGAGGACTGTTGCCTCCACCTCCAGGCTCATCCAGTATAAAAACCATTCCAGCACCGCCATCACAAACATCATCTCCATCACATCAATCTACAAATCCAAATAATTGGGGTGAATTTACTTCTGCAAATAATACTTCTCAACCAGGTGGAAATTCTAATCCTAATTGGGTGCAATTTTAAAACCAAAATATTATGTCAGGTAACCAAATATTGGAGTTAATTATTATTATTTTTTTTATTATTACTATTATTATTACTATACTAAACATTTTTGTTATATTATAATTTATTTATTATTATAGATGTTCTAAATATTCAAAACTATTGTTACAGTGAGTTATTTTTATTATGTTCTTTGACAAAACATATTATTTAGCTAATTTAAATCCTATTATGTTTTTACTAAAATAAATTATCAAATTTATTATAAAAATAGTGATTGTGTAATTATTAGTCTATCTACATTAGTGTAAATTGCTATACAAATGTTACTTTTTAGAATTAAAAGTAGCACTTAAAAATTAAAAAAGTGTTTAATTAATTTCATTTTTTTATAAGATTATTGTATTTTTATTATTATTATTATTAAATATTAAATGATATGTGAATCATTCATTGTTATTTAATTAATTATTGATATTTGTTTAACATTAATGTATTCAGTATTATGATATATAGTAATACTATAAGAGTATTAATATAAAAAAAGCAGTATTTACTTGTTTAATAATATTTCAGTACTTATTTGTTAATTAAATTTATAACATTATAAACTTATCACTAATAATACATATAATAATTGCTATTCATGGTCATACTTAAATCTTATTACAATTTTTTTTTAAAACTGTACAATTAGTAATGATTAATTTCATACATTTCTTATTGAGCAATAAAAATTGAAACATTTAATCATTATTTATAAAAATATTTTTATCATCTTATTGTATCAGTTTTAGTCATAAAAAATAATTCTCTCAAAGTTGTTTACATAACTGTTACTTCTGAATTTTAAATATATAATTTTTACTTAAAGTTTTGAAATTAATTTATGTGGAAGTAGTTAAAAATAGTATACAAATGATTATTGCATTCAATGTTTGTACTTTGTTATAGAAATGGTAATATTGTCTAAATTGATAGCCTACTCTCAATTCTTATTCTCACAAATTTAAATTAATATGCTGTAAGTGTTTATAATTGTAATTTCCTGTACAAACATTCTTGAATTTTGTATGTATACAATAAAAAAAGACTTTAATAAGTTAAGAATATTTATAATAAACATACATATTACATGTTTTGAAGTAAAAAACCATTTTTAATTAAATAACTTAATTGTTAAGATAATTTTTTTATAATCCATACAAAGTATGCTTTTTTATTATTTTAGAATAATAATTATATTCAAACTGTTAAGTTTAGTCCTGTTAAAGWATTGAATATTTTTGAGATGYACAAATTTTGGTTAATTTAGTAATGTATGAACGCTCTAGTGATAATTTTATTTTTGTCATTTGTGTTTTTATACAATCTTATTTTGATTAAAATTGTACATCTTAAATTATAAGTATATTATATAGTTCTAGTATTTTAATGATTCATCCATCTCATTATATTTAGGATGAATTTAATTACTCAAAATCCATATATTATTTACTTAAACAAACTAATATATTATCTTATTATTAATAAAAATACATAGTATAATCTAAGGGATGGTTAAAACTTAAAAGTATTATTTTTCTGTAATTTTATCATGAATTATTTATGTAAACTTATGTTTTAATATTATTATAAATATTTGGGCTAATTGTTATTAACAATTCATCATTATAATTAAAAACCTATGATTAAATTGTTTTTACAGTGTTATCAAAATGTCAAATGCGCACATACATTTCACTAATTATTTATATTATCATGGATATTAAAAAAAAAAAAATAGAATTTTGGGCCTAATTTTTTGTATTTAAAAATTTTTGAACCATTCCATTTGTAAATACTTATTTACATATTATTATTTATTATATGTAAATATTTTAATATTTAGTATTGATGCCACCAGCTACTGAAACTCTCTGATTCTGAAACACAATCACATTAACAATATAATAATATTTAGTTAATCTTCTATTGTAGTATTGTATGATCAACACTAAAAAGGAAATTATTAGATATATTCATTTTTTCTTTTGAATTATATTTTATATTTTAAGTGTTCAAATACCTACCTACACCTAAACGATTGTATGCTATGATGTAACCTTTATCATTAGTTAAAAAATCGTTTGTTTCTGTTASAGACGTACAGTCCTGAACGGTTGTGTCTTTTTATAGAAATACAAGCAATTACGATATATCACCTAGGTGGCTAGGTACATACTACATAATAACAAGATTAATAACGTTAATTTCCATATCGGATAATTACTGTTTCTGTGAATAGTGTAGTGCAGAGCGAATTTGTATTGTTACGTTTTGTTCTAGATTTACACCAATGTTAGAGTGATTAAATATATATAATTATTATATGCTAGTTTAAAATGGTTGAAATAACTAATAACAACGAATAATAAAACGACATGATTGAAATGATAACGATTCGATTGATTGTCTTATTATTTAAAAGATAAAAACACAATCATCATTATGGTCAAAGTACAACATTTAATATTTACATATGTCTTACGAACTAAAGTCTTATAGAACAGATACAATAACGGCATACAATTATTATTAAAAATCAGAATATTACGACGCGATGATGTATAACGTATCACGTATGACAAACTGGGGCGCGAAAACAAGAGTGATGTGGTACCRCGGCTGTCAGTCACCAAGGCCTCCACATCAACTTTGCGGGGGTGGCGTTTCGGCGTAATTCCGTCGCCGCGTTACTGTAGTCATCCTCGGACGAACAAGATGACGACAATGAGCTAACGTTGGTATTGTTCATGATCGTAACATTGGTGTTCGGCGATTCGTCCGGAGAAGATGCCAAAGACGACGATGACAATCGGTTCGTCGGCGCGTTATTCAGCCTCCTCGCACACGACTCCAAGTGCTCAATCATCCTTTGACCGGATATTTGTCGCCGCTCGTCCGTCCACTGTTCGGCCAACAACTCTTGGACCTGTCCTATGCACCTCCTGTATCCGGCCGCGTAAACATCCGGTCCAGGCGGTGGTGGTGGTGGTGCTGAGGCCGTCGACTTCCGCTTCAGGTACCTGACTGTCATCTCCAGGATGTCGGCTTTTTCCAGTTTGTTTACTCTAGAGAGGTCTTGCCCGGCCTGCAATCAACCAATAGTGATAATAGATTAATAAACTTTTCTCAATCCTTAAAATTAACTGATGGGCGATGGTACTAATTAAATTATTAAACATATTAGCTATTAATAGACGTTTCCTTTATCCTGCCATAATATTATTGGTATACCAACATTTTATTTTAACTCCACACCGGTGGCGTATTTGACTTAGTTGTATGGGGGGGGGGGGCAGCGACACTAAAATTGTATACACAAGCTTACATTTTTTTTAACAGAAATTATGATAAATATTAACTTTCAAAAGATTTATGGGAGCATATTTAATCTTATTTGTTCTTTTTCCATATAAAACCAATAATTATTCAAATCATGGGGAGGGCAATCGCCCCATTGGCCATTTCCCTCCCACCTTAAATACGGCACCGTTCTGCACTCATATATAAATATACATTTTGATACTTATAAAAAGATACCTACCTAACCTACCTATAGTTATGTGTGTTTTAGATTCTGAGCGGAGCGAGGAATGTATAGGTTTTACAATGATGTTTTTTTTTTATTTTTTTTTTATTCTATAAACACTTTTTCTCCCTCTAATCTTGCTCAAAAGTATCAAGTGTTGCATATTTGTTGATAGGTAATGTTCTTGAGTTGGTACTTTAAAGAGATCATTTTTCGATTTTAGAAACGGTACCTACTCGAAATAAAAGCGGTTAAAGGAAAAAAGTACGATTTCACGATTTTATAATATTAAATAATTTACGGACGTCGTTTTATACTAGAAATATTGCTTCAAATGAAAAATGACAAGAGATCTTTTTGTTGTATTTTAGATTTTGTTCCTTACAATTTAAATTTCGGAAAATTTTAGCCATTTTTGAGCTGTTTCTTTTTTTTTTCATTTTTATGATATTTTCTAATTATAGTTATATAAATTACCTATTTATATAAATTKTTCTTAAGCTGTTCTTATAACACTTTGTGTATCACCATAGAAACGAATAAAATTTAATAAAAAAGATTCCCTCAGCCGCTCAGAATTGTTTGTTATCGAATACAATCATTGCACTCAAATCGAATACAGTAAAATGACATTATCCTGTCCGAGGACCGAAGGGACGATGTACAAACATCACCACCGAAATGCTGACCTACTTTCCATTTAAATTAAAATACCGTTTATCGGTCAATCAAATTATTATTATGTTTYGACTACTACAGGGATAGAAGTAGAAATTAATAAATTGTAGGTGAGTCCCCGTTAACAAACTATAAATAATATCCAACAAACATTTTGATGTCTAATGATTTTTAACACACGATAAAGACGATACCACGATATATACCTATATGTTATTATATGATATTTACAATAATCTCACAATAACATTTTACTGGCTTAAAATCATATTAGCAGAATTGGTTAAATTTAATCATTTGATCTATTATATAGCTTAAATTGAACAATGTTTACATATATKAACGTAATTAGTTTAACAATAAACTTTTTAAAAGTAAATATGTTAAACACGACCATGACTAATTATCACAAATTGTGCATGTTTTATACAAGTCATTAAAGTAAAATGTTTAGTGCTTTAAGTTGTCTCTGTCGGTTGTTAATTATTGTAATTGTCACATTAGATCAAAAATGAGCAAAATCTGGCAAAAAAATATAGTTATAAATTCAGCCGTCGTAGCACCTACATTACATAACCTTGCTATCGATCATTAGTTTTTATAGAATATATTATTATATGTATTAAATATCACCATATAGGTGATGAGGTTTAGTTGGAGTCACAGAAAGTATTAATATTTATTTAAATATTTTAGTAACTTGCGAACCTTATTATGAATTTATTTTTCCGTTGAGTACTTATTCATTTGCGATGTTATCTCATAATAATGTTACATAAAGTATGTTTAAAAATAATAACTAATAAAAAAATAATACATTCTCTTGTACATGTATTATATATAAACGCCCCCTTAACGTTTAGGGGACCGGTCAATTCTGAGCTCAAATCCTTAACTATTAGTCTTGTAGATTATCCAGCGTGGATGGTTGTAATTCAGAAAGGGTTCGATTTATTAAAAGATTCAAATAACACCTTATCTAATGGGAGCAATATTATTGATTTCTTACGAGTGTACCCGGAACACGGTCATGTCTAATATAGGAATTTTTTAATAATTATTTYCTATGGGATGTACTAATTTAGATAAATGCGTAGTGATGCATTTATCGTCATATACCACTGGGCACATTTTTATTTTTTAAACTTAAAAATATAAAATATTAGGTATGTGGTGCAATGTGCATAAGTATGTACGAGTAAGTGATACACCGATTCGTTAGGTAGGATTATATGGGTATACCTAGCGCACTCTCATATATAATCCGTTTCCGTTTCCCGCTTTTATATGAATGACCGTAAGAGTACAATTCATTTGACGTATAAGAATATGGATGTTCCACGATATTTTAATATGGATTTAAACAAATAATAATGGATGTCAGCTGAGACAACAATAATATTTAACTGTTTAATTCTATCTACTATCTACAATTCTACATGTATGTGTGTAATAAAAAATAATTTATAGCATTAACGTGTCGTGGTAGATATACACACTACACARTATTATAATATATTATATTGAGGTACTTACGAATTTCTCAGCGTCCACTACGATTCGTTTAAGTTCGTCCAGACTCTGATTTATTCTTGCCCGTCGCTTTTTTTCCATCAACGGCTTTCGGATCTATAATTAGGAACGAAGCATGAATAAAAAAAAAGTTCACGTTGAGTATTTAATAATATAGCCTATGATGATGTACAGCGTGGCGCGGCTAATTTTAAACAGTATAAGTCATCGCCACGCTGCACGTCATACGGCGAGTTACGAAAATAATAAATATTTTTTCATACCTTCCGGGGCTCGATGTGTAGTTTTCCAGGTTTCTTGGAGTTAGTCGTCGGCGGCGGCGGAGAGGTTGAAGAGATCTCGTCCATGTTTTCGTCGTCGTCAGTACCAGWAATCGTYGTATGGCACATTTTGTCTAAGACAAACTAAAACGTAAAAAAATATTGATTAAACAAAACTAAACTATTTTGCAAAAATTATATTATGTGTAGTCTAGTAACGTATGAACAGTAGGTACTCCAGAGCACTAGACGGACACATGTAATATACAGACGAGGTATGAATTACAAAAAAAAAATAAAAATAATAGCTCACCTGAGATTATCAATAAAAAAACAATAAACAATAATTGATTCACGGGGATGAAAACGATCGTCAGATATAGCAGTTACTTGTTGTTCTACGTATAATAATAATTAATTAATGCGTACAGCTATGAATATGTTGTGTATTATGTCGGTATTTAGCGGACAAGTGAAAAAAATGTCCGCAAAAAACAATAGCAATTTATAATTAAAATATATTATTATCAAATACGAGTGGGTATAAATTACAATAGTGGAGCGGCGGACTGAGGTCGACGAGGGTGAATTTAGCACTGAACGTGCGCGTGCTGCAACRGTGGCRACCGACCCTTAAGAACGACTGAGCACTACAGACGGCCGTGACATCGAATAAAACGGACGTCTTATATTATCATTACGCGTTTAGGTACGTTTTGTATATATATATACTCGTGTTTTCCCTCTTCTTTCCGACGTCGCCGGTGGTGGTGTGGTGGTGGTAAAGAGTACATCATTGCGGGTTTGGGAGTGAGTATATACATATCATTTATACGTGTGTGTATTTATGTATATATATATAGGTACACGGTCGGCGCCGCCACTGGGGGTTGTGTGGTATATTAGTGCGTGCGCGTATGTGTCGGTGGGGAGGAGAGAGAGTGAGAGAGAGTGACCGACCATCAAGACCGAACGGACACCGCAGCTACTATATATATAGGTATATTTATATATAAATTGGGTTGGTGTAATAGTGTTATATATTTTATTAGTTTATTGACTATACCATATTATATATAATTGTATTATGTTTATTGTCATCCGTTGTACCTACCGCGTTCTACATTACGCRCTTAATAAAATATTATGTATTTAGTTCTCGTTCGTCATGTTGCGCGTTCTTTTTATTTTTTTTCCTAATGGCTAATCTCTAATTCTTCAGTGATCCTATTATTTGTTTATTTTACAATTTGGCTACAGTTTTTGACGGTTACAGTTTTACTAACCATAAATACTACATAAAGTGCGCAATGTTTTTTTATAGATTCAACATTCAAAGTACGATTCAAAAAACAATACGTTATCAAGTAACAGGCGATTCCGTATCTTGCATTTTTTTCTATGGGGAGAMATTGGAAGGGAGTTCAAAATTTATTATAATTTTTATTCAATTATTTAGAAAGACCTATTAATAAAAATGGGATTATTAATATCTGAAGTAGGTACAATTATTAAGTTATGTATAAGTAATAAGTAATATTACTATAGGTTATCTATTAGGCTTATATTTTTTTCTAGAGATTAAAATGAAAACAAAATCACACATTTGTCTCAGATATAGTTCAATAGTTGGTTGTATATATGTGGACAGAAGATATTAGTACAATAATCATAATATTTCATTTACTACAAGTCAATTTTAATTTTTAAATTTTAAATTTTAAAAATCATTATAGGTATTTATGTGATTTGATATAAGTGAATATATTATTATTATTTGAAGAGACGTGTTTCGTAAAAAAAAAAACTTCAGGGATTGTTTAATTCAAGACTAATAACAGAAAAAATGTACAATCCATACAGGAAATTACATTTCAATAAGCATATTATTTATGTTTTGAAAAAAAAATGGTAATAGGTAAATATTAAATWTATTATACCTAGATATTGTGTAACATATATATTATCTTATTTCTCGGCCATCAGAGTTGCGGAGGATACTTCTTCCTATACCTACCTAATGTCTRTATACATATTGCAGCAATCGAATAGTTTTTCAATTCCAGACACATCATTAACAATATATAACAACTAACAAGTGTATATATACATGTAATATATTATACATATACATGCGTATGATATACCCCTTTGCACGCGTGGACTCATTAAAATATATTACACGGTACGCGCGTTTACCTAGGTAGGTATATATATYTACCTGCAATTGTCTCTGAACACCATTAACTCCGAATCGAATGCGCAGTACGTGATTATTATCCAAAATCAATCTATAGAATAGTATATAATATTATAGAACACCTAATAATATACGTATAGGTACCGYCGATACGTATTCCTCGGCGTACACGTAGGTATAAACGTGTAATAGGTATATAGAGGATACATACGAGAAAAACAAACATAAATTAGTTTTAACAAGGTATAAACTATATAAGAATATAAGATACACACGTAGAGACTGGGTCCGTCATCCGGTTGCACGCTGGGCCATCGTCTCGCTCCGCTTACTTCAGCACTGTTTATTATTATTTTTTTTGTTTTTGAGTCTGACTTTTTAAATCAAGTAGACACATCTGAGTCGAGCTCTTTTTACAGTATTTTTCTTCTTCGATACGCCTTGGTACATTGAAAGAATTATATACTTATTAATATAATATCTAACAGTAAATTTTATTAATCGATTTTAATGGTCAGCTGTAAGTAATTGACTGCATAATACTATAATAATATATGTTATGACGAACATTTTTTCACAAGATTCAAGATTTTTCACCTTTTATGTAAAATAAGTGTTGATTTTTTCGGGACATTTATTTATTTTTGTTGAGTTTTTTTTTAGTTTAAAAATAATTTTTAAGCAATCAAATAAATAAATATTAAATATTTTAAACTCATTTTGCTTTCAGAGTCTTATGAAATTGATTTTCCTTTGGTGATTTGGTATATATATATTCGTTTATGGCGTACTTATGAATATTTAATTGAACAAAAATTGCTTAAAAATATAACTATATATCATACATAAATATTTTTCACAACGGCCATTAGGATTATGGAAGACTTGAATGCTCCGCTTGGGGTAAGATCTGTATYTATATTCTATGTATAATTATACTATACAAAATGTAAATTTGTTTCTATTACTGTTGTACAAAAATCAGAAAATGTAATTACAGTATTCCAACGACAACTATTTTACTTTTTTCGAACTTAATGCATACCGTCTAAGTATTTTATACCGTATACTTTCAGTCAACAGGGTACAAAGTTTTATTTCATAAATATATACATAATATGTTTAATAGTTATATCTTATACAATACAATTGAAAAGAAATACTAATTTCTAACTTATATAGATATTCCAATATAAAATGGTTCTACATAGTTTTGAGTTTTAAAAATATGACGTAAACGAAAATATAGGTAGTTCGGTAGTAGGTTGTAGGTAGGTTGGTATATATACTTTTGACCTATGAGATATGGTAAGTAATTGTTTTAAAATATACAAACAATGATAAATATACAGACGACTCTCAGTAATTCAARCATTCAATAGTTTGAAACTTTTGGTGATTCGAAGTAAATGCTCGATCCCTTGAAAATCAMGCAGTAATTCGAATAAAAACAATGCATTTAAGTACACTCAGTAATTCGAAATTAAATTTTGGGAAAACTGGCCACTAACTGCACATCAAAATCCGTTCGACGCTCGGTAATTAGAAGTATATTCACCAAATGTAAAAAACTATGAAAAAATATAACTAAATTTGATGAAGCAGAAAACCATTAGATTTTTTCAAAAAATAAAAATCTTTTATAATAATAATTTAATTTAAAATCAATATATATAACTCTAATAATATATACCACCTAATTTTAGTGGCACATATAGAAATTAATTTGAGGGGGTGAACCCCAAACTTCCACCCTAAATACGCTATACTGCCTAATTTGCTGAAATTATTAATAATTATATACAATAGTAAAGTACATATTTTTCTTAACTCTTAGTAATTTTTGCTCTTTTGTTATTTTTAACAAATTCAATAACTCGAATTCTCGGTAATTCGAAGTTTTTCAATAGTGTCTTCAATTTTGAATCATTGAGAGTCGAGTTAGTTGACTATATTATGCAATTTATTAGGGATGGCGCGAGGGGGGGGGGCAATCGGGGCAGTTGCCCCAGGCCCCGCGATTTTAAAATTATAATCAAGGCCCCGCAGTTCTTAAATTATAAATTATACTGTTCAGAGATTAGTTAGTATGGATTATATGTAATGTGACTGTTATTTATTTTGMCCGGGGCCCCGCAAATCCTATAGCGCCATGCAAATAAACAAAACCGTGAGTAGAATATTATTGTTAATTATAATAGTTAATATGAATACATTTTAAATGCTCTAGCTCTATATGTGTTTAACCGTCATTACAACCTGATAGTATATACATGTATACGATAAAGATATTAATACWTATGGGCCATAAATTATAGAAATGTATTATGAGGACGTAAATATTTGTTTTTCGAAGGGTTTAATATGAAAAATGTTAAGAAGACTAAAATTTTAATCATATACATATAACAATCCTAATTCAGTCACTTATAAATGGTTCTATAATAGTATATCATTGTTGATCGTTAAATAAAACTGTTTACGCGGGAAAGAATCTAAAAGACTATTAATTATTATATAATGCAGACGTGCTGCAGATAAAAAAACAAATTTTCCTCATAAAATAGACAACTTTTACGTGCAATATCGTCTAATTTTTTCGATATCTCATTTCCTAAAAAATGTTACAATATTTTAAAAAATAACGGATTTTAGAACAAWGTAATACATTTTTTCATATTAGCGGTCAGGAAAAAATAAAAACTACATTGCATGGTAAAGTTAAATTTGTATCAAGGCAATTTGTTTTTTCATAACCAGAGCCTATAAGACCTAAGTGGTTCTTATCAGCGCTAAGCGGTTTTTAACAATAAATGTATGGACGTATGGCGTCCGGTAGTTGGAAAACAATCCCCAGTAGAACTTTTTTTTATTGTTACAGCATCAACTACAAGCT